ACAGACAAGAGTTGCAAAAAAAAGTTTTATCAAGCAGGTACTGTACATGTCTCTGTTGAACTTGGCCATTAGGTCAGATTATGTGACCATAGAAGTTTGTTGAATTGTAAAATTTTAGACTCAGAAACCATTGATGTAGTTTTATTAATGCGAAGAGGATGTAGAGAGAAAAAAAAAGGAAACGAAATTGATTTTCATGCTATGTAGCTTTGGCTACCAGGAAGTGGCTGCCGGTTGACAAATTTGTCAACTAAATTGAAAATTTCCTTATCATTTTTATTACTTTGAATAACAGAAATAGCAACTTGAAGTTGAGTAAAGTTCTTTAACTTGTTCTAAAACTCATCAAAAGCTGTTGAATTTGCCTTTACCCTTTGTTTGCCCCTGGAATAAAGTTATGCTTGAACTCTCTGAAAAGGGACCTGTTGCTAACTTGCCCTATATCTTAATACTAGGCTATTCAATGTTCTGGTGGATTAGTGTTTTCCGAAAATGTCAGGAGGATCGTATTCACCATTTCCGCTGTAGCCTTGGTCCTGCTATTTCAGAAGCACAAGAAAAAACATCAGAAAGGATGAAGCGCGGGGCATTTTAAAATAGATATTAGTTTATTATTTTCATTATCGATTTGATCTGATAATTGAGGGTAAATGTAAGGGGAGCTAAGCTTTGCGTTTCGTAATAAACACTTGCTAACATCTTCAAAGTTTCTAATTCTACGTTTTTGGTGCTTCTCTTAACCTGGGTTTGGCAGAAATAAAGAGAGGTTTATACCGCATGAAAGTCTACTTGTTACTATCTCTTTATTTAATATTTTCAACAGATGACCTCGAGGGGAAAAGGGACTTTCTTTACCATAATATTATATCGAGCCCTGTTTCTTCTTCTGTTTGAACCTGATTTATTTATTTTCGTTTTTGGTTTATGGGTGTGAATTAAATTAGGCCATTTTCTATGACCCCTTATGGCTACCACTATTTTACATGGAATTACTTCATAAGTATTAAAAAAGATCTGACTAAAAAAAAAATCAGAAATAACTACGTGAAAGCGGGAGATAATGGAAACAATAAAACAAAGGGGGGAGGGTCTCTGAGGTATATGGGCCACTAACATGAGCCATTAATGTGGAATGGAGAAATATTTCCATCATTCCCATAAGGCCTCTAAGGAGGAGAGATCTTGTTGCCTCAAACTCATTCTCCTTTGAAAAAAAGTGGCAAAGGGGAAATGAGCACCCGTAATGGATAACAAAACGTGCTATGTAAAATTTGCTTTTTGCAACGAGTTACTTGGATGCAGCTACTCAATTTAGGTCATATGACGACTTATTTAAGTTGTTAACATTGCAAATTGTCTCACAGTCCTTATATGAAAGAGAATTTATTTACCTCACGGATTCTTCGTAGTCTTCGTGACTTGCGCACTTTCGTGGCCTTGCCTGATGTGCGATAACTTGATGATATTCATGATTACCGCTTTTTAAAAATCAAGATAAAAATAACACAATAAACTGATAGACCTAAGATTACGCTCTGCTAAACAAATAACCAATTATTTAAATACGAATAAAGTTCATTTGTCATAAGTTAATCAGACTTACTCTGACAAGTTCCGCACCTTGAGTTTCATTGAAATCAAAATGACACATAAAACCTTATACGTACCTGATAGATTGTTTTGGTGTGCAATGGAACTAGGAAGAAGTGGATTACTCTCAAAGAACTTTTCTCGTAATTGAAAGCTATCCTGTCCTATCTTGGCAGATTCGGTACGAACTTTAGGAATCAAAATATCTAATCCATTACCCCTAATGGAATAAACATCTGAAGACTTAATAAAATAACTCTTAATAAGATCTGGAGCAATGTTTTGGAGACACTTATAAACACAAGTTAAATTGTGCATATTAGAACGTGCCTTAAGGGACTTCCAACCTAATTGGCACAACAGTTGATGGCGACTAAGATTACTATCCTTCGGAATAATTCTTAAGGCCCTCGTTTGAAGTCGTTCTAAAGATTTATATCTAGAAGGAGCTTAGCTGTTCCAAACAAAATCAAAGCAAAATTGCGTGTTGCATTATGTGATCTGCTGGATCATTTGGCATAAATAATAGGAATAAAAAGAGGAGGGCAAAAGGTTAGGATTTCGAAACTAAAAGTCTCTGGATGCTTCTTTAGAATACACTGTTTCAAGTTGCATATCGGCGGGCGTCATTTGATTTGTCTCAGGCGGATTAGAGAGGATTGAAAATTTGATCCAGTTTGTATCCTAGTTCTTGTTGACTGTGTTCTTTACCATTCGCTCTTGAGACTGGCTGAAAGCGATTTACAACTTGTACATGGATCAAAACTTGGCTATTGAGGACAATGGAGTAAAGAGCGCTTTTTAGGTGGGGGTGATCAGGTCCACAGCCTAAGAGGTAAGATATTCATCTCTGGTTAAGTTTTATTTCCGAAAGGAGATCGATTTTTCTCTGATCTTTCGCCAATTGCATTGGCATTCGACTCTTAAATTACGCATTAGTAATACCTGACTTTTATTTCGTGAAAAAAAATGGAAAAACCATGGTAATAAGGTTTCCGTATCACGACTTAAAACATGAATGTTTACATCGAATGTGGAGGCTCACTGACACTTAAGGATCGTGATACTGTTATTATTGAAAAAAAAAGACTAGGTTTTTATCAAGCATGCTTTAAAGGAAATGAGAGACATCGTGTGATTTGGTCCTCTTGAGAACAAAACTTATCAACTTTACGGTTAAATGGGTTTGATTAGTTATGTGGTTACAAAAATAACGAATATTCAGGGCATGATGCCTTTGAAACCAGAAAATGCCAAGAGATTAAAACGTATCCAGTAACAGCATCGACAAACTTAAATATCTGATTCAACTTAAAACTTAAATATCTGATTCAAGATGAAAGATTGTAGGTTAAGAAGTTCTTACAATTTAGTCTTCGTTATAATTCCTTCCATGGTGAATAAAGTAGAAACAGAATAAACTCCATCATTGTTTCATCTAACCTGCATTGCTTATTCCGCCCGTCAGAGTATTGTCTCCCTACATAATCGGTTGGCTGTTTTGTTCGTTTCAATTCGGTAGTTTTGCTAGTTTTGGTCCATTGTTATTGAAAGTACTTGCTTGGTTTAAAATCCTTAAAAGCCGTTCAAGCGGTAGCAAACAACCTCGCTTTTTGCAGATCACCTTAAAATATCGAAGAATACTCCTGTTCTTAAAAAACACTCCGAAAGAAATTCCATTTTAGATGCTCCACCGACACCCATTTGCGTTTTAGTTATACCCATAATCCCTCATTTGTTCCCCATTTCCCAGTTACAGTTGCCTAAGTTCCACTCTTCCCCTAACCCTTTGTGGATCTCAGATTACAGCTTATTGATGTTTTTCTCGAAAGCACTTAACTATGTTTTTCTTGCGCACTTTAGTGGCCTTGCGTGATGTGCGATAACTTGATGATATTCATGAATACCCGTTTTTAAAAATCAAGATCAAAATAACACAATAAACTGATAGACCTAAGATGACGCTCTGCTAAACAAATAACCAATTATTTAAATACGAATGAAGTTCATTTGTCATAAGTTAATCAGACTTACTCTGACAAGTTCCGCACCTTGAGTTTCATTGATATTTTAAATCAAAATGACAGATAAAACCTTAAAGCTACCTGATAGATTGTTTTGGTGTGCAATGGAACCAGAGAGTAGTGGATTACTCTCAAAGCGCTTTCCTCATAATTGAAGCCATCTGTCATCTGCTGAGTCATTTGGCATAAATGATAGGAATAGAAAGAGGAGGGCAAAAGGTTAGGATTGCGAAACTGAAAGTCTCTGGATGCTTCTTAAGAACACACTGCATGTTTTGCATTCAGCGTGCGTCGGTTTATTTGTTTCAGGTGGAATAAAGAGGCTTGGGAAAACTGATCTAGCTTGTATCCTAGTTCTTGTTGATTGTCTTCCTAATCATTCGCTCTTGAGACTGGCTGAAAGCGATTTACAACTTGTGCACGGATAAAAATTTGGTTATTGAGGACAATGGATTGATGAGCGCCTTGTTGGTGGTGTGATCAGGTCCACAACCCAAGAGGTAAGATATTCATCTCTGGTTACGTTTTATTTCTGAGGGGAGATCGATATTTTTCTGATCTTTCGTCATTTGAAATCGTGAAATCGATTCTTGAATTAGGCATTAGTAATACTTTGACTTTTATTTCGTGAAAAAAATGGTGAAGCCATGGCAATAAGGTTCCCGTATTAAAACATGAATGTTTACATCGAATGTTAAGGCTCACTGACACTTATGGATCTTGATACCGTTAAGATTTAGTTTAAGACTGAGTTTTATCGAGCTTGCTCTAAATAAAACGAGAAACATCGTTTGATTTGGTCCTCTTGAGAACAAAACCTATCTAAAAATTTATATGGGTTTGATTGATCATGTGCCTACCAAAACAACAAATATACAGAGTATGA